TATATATATATATATATGTGTATATGTATATATATATATATGTGTGTGTATGAAATTTTCGAAAGACTTCTTTTCATGTCTATTGATTTTAAATTTTACATGAGATATGCAAAAAAAATATTAAAATGAATTTTTATATTATCTCTTATAGAATATGTATAAATAATTCATTTGTTATTTCTATTTTCCTTTTTTATATTTACTTTAGCTTAGTAAACTCTTATTTATTTTGCAAATTGTCTCAGTTTGTTTACTTAATGTAAATTTGATCTCAAATATAATAAAATTTTTTTATATTTTCCAAATAAATTTTTTTATTGGCATACTAAGATTGCAAGAATATTGCTGACGGAAGAAATTTATCAAAAATCCTAAAAGTCGCAAATATTTCAATTTGATCATAACATAACAAAATATAAATTACAATATACTATTTCAAATTGATTTTAATTTAATATATTTATTTCATAAAAATGTTTTCTAATTTCAGAAAATTTATACATAAAGAAGGCGATTTGAAGGAATCTTTGTATAAAAATTTTCGAAACGCAAAATTCTACTTACTTCTTGTATCATTCCTTTCGCTGGTATGCCAAGATGTTCATGAACTTGTACGAAAGTTGGCTCTTTGCTAGAAGATGTTTGAGTTGCTATAAAGTTAGAGAAGGCGGTCAATGGCATAGTTCCTTTGTCTGAAATAATCTCTAAAGAAACACTCGCTTCAGATTCTGGCTCCAATGTGAGCAATTCCTAACAGAGAGTACAATAATAGATAAAATATAAATATATTTACATATCAAATTAATTCAAACATTATACAATTAGACATAAATTTATTTAATCTAAAAATGTACCTGATTTGAATCCAAAAAGAATAATTGTGATTTTCGTTGCCATTGGCCAAAGGAAGAATTATGTTTTTCCTGTAGATGAGGTACGAAAGTAGCCGCTAATATAGAATTGGTACTTTCAATAAGGCACATTTTCTTATAAATGAGTGTTGCACTTTGTGGTGTAAACACATATACTAAAAGCAAATGAATAATCTTTCTATTAAAACATAATAATAAAATAAGATAAAAAAATATAAGAAAATATACATAATGAATGAGATTGTTATATGACAAAAAAACAACATATATATATATATATAT